AGTTTATTTAGTACTATTTTTAATTATTAAAGTGATGTTATTATTATTGTTTTTAATAACTGTATATTTGTTTAAAAGAGAGTTAAAGGAGGTTATAGATATGTTATTTTAATAGTTGATTAATGTTAGTTAGAATATGATTATTTTATTGTTAACCCTGTGATTGGCACTGGGAAGTGAGAGGGGAGGGAGGGGGGAGTGGAAGGGTGGGTTGGGGAAGGGGGGATTTATATTGTAAAACTTTATAAAATTTTCAATTAAAAAAAAATGTAGTTCCTGTAGAAAGCCAACATCGAATGTTATATGGCACCCACTCTTTCTGTAGATAGGAAGAACATATGATGAGTCTATGCATTTCAGTGTGCCAAGATTGTAGAATGTAGGACAAATACATGGAAGAAAGCTGCAAGTTCAGTTTCTGGATTGGGAAAACAAAGATTTTGACTTGCACAGCATGTATTTGGGAGCGCAAGAATATCCAGACCCATAGACTCATTTTTTTTAAAATAAATTTAAAAAAATAGTCTCAAAAACACTTTTGTGAATGCAAAAAAGAAAGAATATCTCCAATAGTTTCTGCCTACTTGATGTTCTGGCAGAATGGATGAGTCCAGGTCCCATCAATTAAGTATTGCCATCCTAGGAAACGTGCTTTCTCTGTTGTGATCCCACATTTGGGAACAGTAACCTTCCAGAGATAACGACAGTGTCCTCTCTCCTTGGGTTCTGGAAATACTTAAATCCTAGTTTTGTTCCCAGGCCTAATGTTTGTTATTTTAATGGCCATGTTTTGTGGGCTTCGTTAGCAGAGTATTTTAGTCTGGGCTACCTCAGGTTTAATGTTTCTTGCTATTTATATATATGTTTTTTAGTTTTGCATGCTGCCAACTCACTAGAATTGAAGGCCAATAAATTTAAATAGTGCCTTCAGAAGGCAGCAAAACACTATCCAAAATTAGGATTGCTTTTAAACAAAACATTTTTTAATTAACATTTCAGTACTTTACCTGCACTGCACTCTTCCCTAGGGCATTTTGGATTTCCCTTAGAGTCTGATAGTGTTCTAGCAGGTGATCACCACATATTATGTCAACCTAAAATGAACAGAAAAAAACCTATTAAATAATTTAGTACTTAGTAAAAGGAGTGTTCAGTGTAAAAATGTATGCCCAATTAACAAGAACGACAGCCTGCTGTAACTATTAACAATGAGCTTTTATAACTTTCAGAGAAACTACAAAACAACTGTTACAAGTCAGTTAATTTTAACTGATTTACCAACAACAGTGGCAAATATTGTATTTTCTAATCTTGCCCCTTTTAAACTTTACTCTTATTTTACATATTTGTTAGTGTATGGGCAGAGCAGAGACGTATCTTAAAAACTCCATTTTAGAGGTGATACTCTTTCAGAGCAGATGGTGCTAAATTTGTTAAAGATGAGCAGCTGTTCTCAGTTCAAACATAATTTAAATTTAACAATAGATGAGCCTTGCAACCAGTTCTCTGTGGAATACCATTTCTCATCTCATCATCTAGCATTAACAAGACCCAGAGGCACTATTTATTCACATGCAACTATTGCATGACATTGCTTAATTCATCCAAACCAACAAAAAAAGAATAATGTTCAATGATACAACTGAAACAAAAGCAAGATCATTCATTCATGATCATACCCTTTGCTACCACAAATCATTCTATGATATCAGCAGCTTATTTAATAGATTAGTGGAATTAAACTTTCTCGTGTCAGATCAAAATGAAATTTAATGTGGAGAAAAGCAAGGTTTTACACCTGGGCAGGAAAAATCAAAGGTACAAATACAGATTAGGTGAAACCTGGCTCAGAAACAGTAACTGTGAGAGGGACCTTGGAGTCTAGTAGGTAATCACTTAAACATGAGTCATCAGTGTGCGGTAACAGCCAAAAAAGCTAATACAATCCTTGGTTGTATAAACAGAGGCATAGAATCAAAATCACATGAAGTATTAGAATTGCTTTATAAAGCCTTAGTAAGACCACACCTGGAATACTGCATCCAGTTTTGGTTATAACATTACAAAACAGATGTTGAGACTTTGGAAAAAGTGCAAAGAAGAGCAACTAAGATGATTAAAAGCCTGGACACTAAAACATGAAGAACGGTTGCAGGATTTGGGTTTGTTTTCCTGAAAGTAAGNGTCACGGCCGACAGATGGTCATCTAAAGTCAGCCGTGAATCCAGGAGGACTCCCAAGTTGCGCGCCCTCTCTGAGGGGGCCAAGGTTTCGCCCCCTATAGTCAGCGATGGCGTCAGCTGACTATGCCGAGGCGCCGGAAACCACAGCCACTCGGTCTTGGAAGGGTTGAGCCTGAGTCTGTTCCCCCCCATCCAGACCCTTGCCTAATATAAGCCCTGCCCCCAAAATAAGCCCTAGTTTTGGGGCGCGGTGCACACCTAAAAACCAAGCTAGGGCAGGGGTGGCGAGGTGGAGCTTACCATTGCAGACAGGCTTCCCATGGATCGACACTTACCTCACCTCTCTGGCCCAATTCTTCTGTGGCCAAAGGACAAGCTTCATTCTGCAGCTGACAATGGAGCTCCAGCCTGCATTTTGAAGTCAGAAGCCTTTCCGGAAGGCCTCTGCAGCCAAGAACCAAGCTAAGGATTCAATCCGTAGCTCGGTTTTCGGCTGCAAAATGCAGGCTGGAGCTCCATTTTCAGCTGCAGAGTGAAGCTGCTCCTTAGGCCACAGAAGTAGATCGGCTGGGCGAGGCTGTCGGTGCCATTGTCACGAGGTAAGTGGAAAAGACACTCCTCCCCCTGAAAATAAGACCTGGTGCCTCTTTTGGGGGCAAAAAAAAATATTTCAAAATCAGTTCAACTTTTAGTATTTCTTTTTATTGCCAGAAATTTTCCTCTCTGTTATTTTGGTCTTTCCTATGTACAAAATGCTTTCAAAGAAAAGTAATACATTAAAAATATGTGGGAAGCTCATTCATCTGATCACTGTTATACACATGTTGTGGAAAAGCAAAAAAAGGTAAAAATTATATTATATGAATTATTACAGTGTACCTGACAGCCAGGATCAAGATCCATCTTTCTTCTGAGGAATTTTTCCACATGTCCAATTGTTGCCTCTCCTGAAACACGCACAAACTTCTTTTCCAGTGGCTACAAGAACAAAGAACAGGTTAATTTACAGTTAGGTTGTAATAAATAGGATT